ATGAATTGATTAACTCAATTTTAGAGGCCAAGCAGCCTCACAACCTGCAAGCTAGAGAATTAAAGCTGGTGGCATAATTCAGTCCGGGTCTGAAGGCCTAAAAAATGTATATACCTACACACACACACACACACACACACACACACACACGCACGCGCGCTCGCGCTCACGCACACAGGTTTGTTATAAACAATGACTCACAGGACTATGGAGACTGGGTGAACTGGATACCCATGAAAGCTGCCATGTATCCGTCTGCGTGCCAGCAGGCTTGAGAATGGAATGAGCCAACTTTTAGTCGGAAGGCAAGGAAAGAACTATGTCCCAGTTGAAGGCATCAGGCCGAAGGAGTTCCTTCTCTATGTTCTGTAGCTAATTGGTTAGTGATGCTGAGGGAAAGGTGAAGTAGCGCTGAAGCGGCCGAGCTGCACTGTGCCCGCTGGCTGAGTTCTCACAGATGGCAGTGAAGTCAGCAGTGGGGCTGAGGGGGAGCGCCTCCTGGAGAGGCGTCCAGCAGTGCCAGCTTTGAGTTGCTAGTCAGAAAGTCCCCATATGTGTTAGGGGCCATCTGATTGCAGGGAACAGAAACCCATTCAACTTAGCTCCGGTAAAAGGGCTTTCTTAAAAACCATACAGGGGTCCTGATAGGAAATGAAGGACGGTTGGTCACCTGGTATGGAACTGGAAGATTGGCTACCGGAGTTCCTCCCTCTGCCTGTGGGGAGAGTCAGCACACCTGTCTGCTGCTCAGCAGCCCAGCTTTGCTTGCGCTCTCATGATCTCTCTGCTCCCCTCCGCTCACACCAGACTGGTTTCCACAGTGCCCGCTTGGGTTCCTGTCCCATGAAGCCTTGCAGCTAAGCTCCCCTCAGCTGACTCCATCTCTGTGTCTCTTATTCAAAACAAGTAGTGTAGCCTGGCATCAAGTGGTGTCAGGCCTCCGTGGCAGCAGCTGCATCTGTAGCCAGGAGGCAAGTGGGCTCATAAAGTCCAAATAGGCAGCTTGGTCTGTGGCCAGGAACACACTCTCTTGGAAGGGGTGCAGGTAGGTAGGGATGCAGTGACAGTTCCCTGTAGCATTCACGGTCAGCATCCTAGGACTGCGTGGATCTGAGGGTACAGTATTACTGTTTAGAATGGTACTGACATAGTGCTGCCAGCCTTGACCCATCACATAATTAGGGACATTGAGGACAGTGGTTCTGAAACTCAGGCTCACATTAGAACCCCTAGGCAGTGGTTCTTAACCTTCTGGCCCTTTAAATACAGTTCCTCATGTTGTGACCCCAACCATAAAATTATTTTTGTTGCTACTTCATAACTGTAACGTTGCTACTGTTATGAATCGTAATGTAAATATTTGATATGCAGGATGGTCTTAGGCGACCCCTGTGAAAGGATCGTTCGACCGCCAAAGGGGTCGTGACCCACAGGTTGAGAACCGCTGCCCTAGAGGGTTTGTTAAAACACCTCCAGAGGTTCTGCTTTCTGTAGGTATGGGGTGGGGCCTGAGAATTTGCTCTTAAATTCCCAGATGGTCTGCTACTGGCCCTAAGACCTCACTTTGAGAACCACTGCTTTAGGGGAAAGATTTGTGGGGCAGGGGTGAAGTTCTTTTTGCTGTTGCTTTTTGTGTTTTTCTGTTGTCTGTCACTGAATGAAGGAATTGTACTTTTTTATTAATGAAGGTGATTTTTGCAATGAATTAGCTACAGGGTGGAAGAGCCAGAGACATTAGTGGAACTTCAAAAGAACGAGTGGGACCCAATCCTAGAATGGGCTGAGAAAAGGTAAGGGCTACTGTCTTGACCCCACAATATTTTGTAAGCTTATGTGGAGTAGTTTTTGGCATAGCTTTTTTTTTTCACAAAAGTGATGTCTGTCAGTCAGTCTGTGTTATTTGTACACATTTTTTGAGTGCCCACTATGTGCCAGGCATCCTTGGATTTTATAGTAAAAGGCATAGAGAGTGTATTAAAGGATCAAGTAAAATGTAACAAATATAGTGCTGTGTAAGAACTATGAGGATACAATGTCACTTTTGTGTCTAATGAAATACAACCCTGTGTGCTGGGCAGGCTTTTAGGGCCAGGGGGCCATGCTGAATAAAGCAGAGCCCTTAGCTAGTAGACTTCCTGGGTCCAGAGCACCCTTAGGATTTGGCATCATCCAGATGTTCAGGAATGGGCCATCTTGGAAAAAATGTTCCTCACATTTGTCTCAGCCATCATGCACCAAGTAGGCATGCTATTAGGAGGCATTGTGACAAGTATAGGTATGGGGCTCCAGCTCTGCCATGATTGTCTGTGTGGCCTTGAGCTAGTGACTTGATCTCCGTAAGCATTAGCCTCTTTGTGAGTGGGGCTTTTAATCCCTACCTCTTAGGGTATTGTGAGGAGTAAATGAAGTGATGGTTAGCATCCTTTTTGACACACAGTAAATGCTACATTCTGGCAGTTATCATCTTTACTGTTGTCACAATTGCTACACTATTAAATCATAAAACAATGTGTGTGATATGTACACACATGGAGAAAAGTCTGGACAGCAACCTACAGAATTATAGATAACATTTATCCTGTGGATATAAGGTATCCAGGAATTGATGCTTCCTTAGCAGGAAGACTCTTTTATGCAAACTGAATAGATTATTGATGCGGTGACAAAATTCAGTTTAATGTCATTCCAAGGGGACTTTGTAAGGGCTACTGTCTTGACCCCACAATATTTTGTAAGCTTATGTGGAGTAATTTTTGGCATAGCTTTTTTTTCACAAAAGTGATGTCTGTCAGTCAGTCTGTGTTATTTGTACACATTTTTTGAGTGCCCACTATGTGCCAGGCATCCTTGGATTTTATAGTAAAAGGCATAGAGAGTGTATTAAAGGATCAAGTAAAATGTAACAAATATAGTGCTGTGTAAGAACTATGAGGATACAATGTCACTTTTGTGTCTAATGAAATACAACAATATTTAGGTACCTGGAGATCTTTGTTACAATACAAAATTGTTAGCTTTTTGTGGCAGTTGAGATTTCTTGTTAATAATTTACAGAAAGCCCTACCCGGTTTGGCTCAGTGGATAGAGCTTCGGCCTGTGGACTCAAGGGTCCAAGGTTCGATTCCGGTCAAGGGCATGTACCTTGGTTGTGGGCACATCCCCAGTAGAGAGTGTGCAGGAGGCAGCTGATCGATGTCTCTCTCTCATCGATGTTTCCAACTCTCTATTCCTCTCCCTTCCTCTCTGTAAAAAATCAATAAAATATATTTAAAAAATAAAAAATAATAATTTACAGAAAAACTGGGCCATTTGCTATGTTCCATTGGTACTATTAGAAATTTCAGAAAGAATATTTCTAAACCAATGGGAAAAATCAGTGATATATGAAAGAAAATACGCTTCCGCTCAAATGGCAGAGTAGGTAAATGTGGTACTTGCATCTTCCCATGACCACATCAAAATTAAAACTAAACTAAAGAACAACCATTGTTGAGAACTACCTGATATTTAGCTGAACAGATGTCCCATAACTAAGGATATACAGAAGAAGCCACATGAGACTGGTAGGAGGGGTGGAGATGCAGAACAGGCAGGTCCCACACCCACGTGTGGTGGTTAAAAATCAGGAGGGATATCTCAGCTGTGGAGGTCCCCCCTCAAGAGAGAGGGGTCCCAATCCTACACCATGCTTCCCAGTCCATGGTTCCAGTGCCTGGAAGAGAAGCCCCCATAACCTCTAGCTGTGAAAACCAGCAGGGATTATGGGTGAGTGAGGAAAGGTTGTTGGAGTCCCAGGTGTTCCTCTTAAAAGGTCTGTGCACAGACTTATTAGCTCTGAACTCCAGCACTAGGGTAGCAGCTGTGAAAGCAGTTCTCAGTGAGAACTTCGACAGAGAGATAGAAAATATAAAAAAGGACCAGTCAGAAATGAAGAATTACATAACTGAAATGAGGAATACACTAGAAGGAATCAACAGTACAGTAGATGAAGCAGAGGATTGAATCAGTGATTTGAAACATAAGGTAGCAGAAAATACCCAATTAGAACAGCAAAAAGAAAAATGAATACCAAAAAAAATGAGGATAGTTTAAGGGGCTTCTGAGTCAACATCAAACGTACCAACATTCACTTCATGAGGGTGCCAGAAGGAGAAGAGAGAAAGGAATTGAAAACCTGTTTTAAAAAATGACAGTTTCACCTAACTTGGTGAAAGAAAAAGATACACAAGTCCAGGAAGCACAGAGTCCCAAACAAGATGAATCCAAGGAGACCCACACCAAGACACGATAATTAAAATGCCAAAGGTTAAAGACAAAGAATCTTAAAAGCAGCAAGAGAAAAACAGTTACCTACAAGGGAGTTCCCTTAAGACTTTCAGTTGATTTCTCAACAAAAACTTAGCAGGCCCGAAGGGATTGGCATGAAATATTCAAAGTGATGAAAAGCAAGGACCTACAACCAAAATTACCCAGCAAAGCTCTCATTTAGAATTGAAATTCAGGTAAAGAGCTTCCCAGATAAGAAAAAAGCTAAAGGACTTCATCACCACCAAACCAAAATTACAAGTAATGTTAAAGGATCTTCTTTAAGAAGAAAAAAAAATCAAGAATATGATTAATAAAATGGCAATAAATACATATCTATCAACAATTACTTTAAATGCAAATGGATTCAATAATCCAATCAAAAGACAGTGTGCCTGAATGGATATGAAAGCAAACTCATATATATGCTATCTACAAGAGACTCACTTCAGATAGAAAGATACATACAGACTGCAATAAAGGGATGGGAAAGTTATTCATGACAATGGAAACAAAAGCTAGAATAGCAATACTTATACCAGACAAAATAGACTTTAAAACAAAGGCTACAACAAGAGACAGAGAAAGACTCAGCAATTCCACTTCTGGGTATTTATTTGAAGAAACCCCAAAACATATGCATCTGTATGTTCATTGAAGTATTTACAATAGCTAATAGACAAATGGATAAAGAAGATATGGTACATATATACAGTGAAATATTAGCCATAAAAAAGAACGAAATCTTACCATTTACGACAACATGGATGGACTTACAGGATATGTGCTCAGAGAAAGACACATACCATATGATTTCACTTATATGTGGAATGTAAACAACAAAATAAAACAGAAAATTTTGATAGTTGTCAAAGGGTTAGGGGCTTGGAGTCTTGGTGAAAAAGATGAAGGGACTAAGAAGCACAAAAAATTGCTCCTTGGCTGGTGTGGTTCAGTGGTTAGAATGTTGGCCCATGCACTGAAGGGTCGTGGGTTTGATTCCTGGTCAAGGGTTGCAGGTTCAATCCCCGGGCCCAGTTGGGGCTTGTGTGGTAGGCAACCAATCGATGTGTCTCTCTCACATCCATGTTTCTCTCTCTCTCCTCCCATGCCCCCTCCCTCCTTTTCTCTCTCTCTAAAAAGCAATGGAAAAATATTCTCAGGTGAGGATTTTTAAAAAAAGCTACAATTGGTAGTTACAAAATAGTCATGGGGATATAAAATTTAGCATAGGGAATATAGTCAATAATTTTGTAAATAGTATGTACGGTGCCAGATGGGTACTAAATTGCTTTTATTCCATTATGTTTTTCCTGTATTTTATGTAGTTATGATCGTTCTTGAAAATGTATCATTCTTGAAGCCAGCTCATGTCCCATACAAAAAACAATGCCTTGTATATAGTAGAGGCTTAATAAATATTTGATAAAGTGGTTGAATAATATAGGACCTACACAGATATTATTGTAAGGAAAACAATATTTGAAAAATAATTTATGACCTCAATGTGAAAATTGTTTCTTAAAAAGTTTAAAAAGCAGGTAGCCCATGCTTTTGATGGAGATCCTAGGCAGAGAGAATTCCCTGCTGGCACAACTTGCTTACCTGTGCCTCCATTCAGGGTAATTGCTTTTTAAAAAAATGTATTTTATTTTATTGATTTCAGATAGAGGAAGGGAGAGGGAGAGAGAGACGGAAACATCAATGATGAGAGAGAATCAACTGGCTGCCTCCCTGCGTGCCCCCCACTGGGGATTGAGCCCGCAATCCCAGCATGTGCCCTAACTGGGAATCGGACCATGTCCTCCTGGTTCATGGGTCTGTGCTCAACCACTGAGCAACACTGCCAGGACAGGGCAGTTTCTTGATCCTCTGGCTTTGCTCATGATAGAAATTACTAGGTCAGGAGGTCACTGACCACCATGGTAGTTGCTCCCAGAATACCCGAGACTGACTTCTTCACCACTTGCCCTCAAGGGGTGCACACCTACTTAGCAGTTTAGGGCTTTGCTTCTGGGCAAAGCTGAAGTGCACAGCAACCAAAGCCTTTCCTTTCAGGTATGGCGTGGAGATTGGCTCTTCCACCAGCATAATGGGGCCCAGCATCCCAGCCAGGACTCGGGAGGTGCTCGTCAGCCACCTGGCATCTTACAACATGTGGGCCCTACAAGGTATGCAGGCATTTCCTAGGCCTGGGGGTGTGGAGGGATCGGCATGAGTGTCCATAGCCAGAGAGTCACAGGAGCGCGCTAGGGGTGGGTCTGACGCTCACTTTTTTGCTCAGTCTGAGGGGACAGCAGGCTCACACCCTTCCAGGAGAAGGTTGGCTTTCTCTTCATAAGTTCAAGTCTCATTGACCCATCCGTGAACCAGTCACTGGGGCAGGGTGGAATGGTTTCAGTCACGTGCCCACCCCAGGTAGGAGCAGAGGAGGGCTCTCGCCTCTTGGAAGAGGAGGAGCATGGATCTAGAGCTGGTCAAGAAGCCCTGTGCCCTGTGACTTGTCTCCCCACCTCTAGGGTGTAGGGACTCACAGGAGTAGGTCTAGCAACTGCTCTGTTTCCGGGTGGAGGTGTCCTGGGTCCTGACTTGGCTTGTGTCCCTGAAGGGATTGAGTTCGTGGTGACCCAACTCAAGTCCGTGATGCTGACCTTGGGCCTGATGGACCTGCGCCTGACAGTGGAGCAGGCCGTGCTGCTGTCACGCCTGGAGGAGGAGTACCAGGTGAGGTTTGCAGCGGCCCAGAGGCGAGCACCTCAAGTCCCCGCTTCCCCCCTCCAGATTTAGACTACCCGGGGGACCGGGGGTAGCTAACCCATCTATTTTATTACTTTTGTGTAAAGAACAAACTGCAACAGATGATGATAAAATCACGGTGAGCACTGCCACTGCTTCCCAGCGTCGTGCTCAGCTCTCCCTCATTGCCTCACCTCCTCCTCTAAACAACCCGGTCAGGTGGGGGCTGCTGTTATGCCCATTTACACAGGAGGAAACCAAGGCACAGGTCAGTCCCTCAGAAAATGCTGGAGCCAGGTAACTCCAGGTCCAGGCCTTCACCCCCCACCCTGCAGGTGGCAAATCAAGATTGCTTGGGCCTGGCACACCTGAAAGTGGGCTATTAAAATGGCTGGGAGCCACGTGGTTGCTCTTGGAGACAGCCTTTGTGCCCTGACATCCATACAGGGCATCTACGTGGCAGGGAGGGCAGCGTGAGCTGCTACTGTGCACGGTGCTGATGTAGTGACGCAGAATTAGGGTCTGTTCTGCTGTCATTTGCTTTTTAATTTTTTTTTTTTTTCAGAAAGGTAGGGAGAGGGAGAGAAACATTGATGAGAAAGCAAAACATCGATTGGCTGCCTCCTGTACACCCTCTACTGAGGATTGAGCCCACAACTTGGACATGTGCCCCGACTAGGAATCGAACCAGCAACCCCTCAGTGCACAGGAGGACGCTCAACCAACTGAGTCACACTAGCCAGGGCTGAATTGTTTTTTTAAATTCTCACCTGAGGACATGTGTACTGATTTTAGAGGAGGCGGAAGGAGAAAGATGTGACATCGATGTGACAGAGAACATCAATTGGTTGCCTTCCGTACGTGTCCTGACCAGGGATCGAACCTGATAGACTGCCGTGCACAGGATGATGCTCTAACCACTGGACACACCGGCCAGAGCAGGGCTTGCATTTGTTTAACTGAGAATTATGACAGTCTTTGCAACCTTTGCTATTATTATTTCTCCAACTTCCTAAAGTTAATTGCTATTACAAATTGGTTCCTAGCATGATGAAACCCTTTTATAATGGCAGTATTGCTCAAGTCTTTCTAGTCACCTCTTCAGAAAAATGCCTGGGAAAACTGGGTCTGTATCACAAAAGAGGCTAGCTATTCTCTGAGTGTTAGAAGCAGTTATGGGGTAGAGAGGCAACCTGTGAGGGTGTGAGGCTGGGCGGGCTCTGAGAGATAGGGAGCCAGGAAACCTGGTTCTTGTCTGGGCTCTGCTTTTGACTGTGGGACCCAAGCCAGGCCGTTGTTTCCTGAACTTCACGTTTGATCTGCCACAAAATGGGAGCGACCTGGATTGTGCGCGCTCTGAAAGGAGAGCATGCTCTTCAGGTGGCTAATCACACTTGTCCAGGTGAGACGAGGAGCCCAGAAGTGCCAAGAGCTGCTGTGGCCGGGCTGACTCTTCTCCGAGAAGGTGGGCGGCTGGGCCAGGCTTCCTGGGCCCTGGCCAGGGAGGAGTCAGCAGGGCGGAGTGCAGCTCTACTGACATCTGGATAGCCACACTGTGTCTAGGGTTTCTCCTGTAGCTTAGAGTATGGAGAGAGGTCTGCAACCCTGCCCTAGGAGTCACAGATGAAATGACAGTGTGGCCTTGGTTGATGTTTTTCATCCCACTTGTGTGGGGGCCACGTGCAGCCCAGCTGGTGAGGCAGCGCAGGAGAGGATGGCATTATAGGTTGCCTGCGCCAGCCTCTTTGTGGGAAGACGTGTGAGAGAGGGATGGCACACAGGTGGGCCTCAGGGAAGATGCATGTGGTTTCGGTGCCTGGCCTGCCTAGCAGTGAGTGCCTGCTGGCCCTGGGCCTGGACTTTACCCTCCTAGACCATCCACACCCTGTGGAAGGCGGCGCCTGCTCTGGCCACCTGTGTGTGCTTCCCCCGGCCTCCCCACCAGGTGTGTTGCCTGTTTTGGCAGGATGGGAGCCTGTGGCCCTCAGTCCAGCTGTAGGGTGGTGTGTGGCTCGGGCTTGCAGCAGCTGGGCACTGAGCTTCTCACTCAACATCTCTTATCCTTTCCTCAGATCCAGAAGTGGGGCCACGTGGAATGGGCCCATGACTATGAGTTGCGGGAGCTCCGGGCACGCACGGCCGCAGGCACCCTCTTTGTCCACCTCTGCTCCGAGAGCACCACGGTCAAGCACAAGCTCCTGCAGGAGTGAGGCCGGCGGTGCGCATGGCACGCCGGGGACAGAGGCTGCGGAGCCCCGGCTCCCAGGCCTGCGGACACACGGCCTGGCCTCCACACGGTGTCGACTGGGGGCCTGAGACAGTGCGGCGGTCTGGAGGTCAGCTTGAGTCCACCCCAGGGCCCCTGCCCCAGCCAGCGAGGGGACAAGGTGTACGATGGCTTTCTCAACCCTGACTGTATTACACATTTCTCCACCTGGAAAGATGTTGAGCCCTGTTTTCATTTGCGCCTCCACATACCCTCATCTCCTTGTTATACCTGGGGCTCACCTAGATCCTCAGCAGGTTGGTACCTGCCGCCTGTCGTCACCCCGTCCACAAACAGCTCCATGAACTCTGTGTTTCTGTGGGGCCCTCGACCCTCAGCCCAAAAGCTTTTCCCCGGGTGTTTAGTCAAACGATCTTTGGAAAGTGAGTCCTTTTTGGTCTAAGCTGATTGTTTCTACCTGTTCCTACTATTTCAGGAAAAAAGTAATAATGTACTCTTGAAAGTAGAAATGCCCATTATTTCTGGACGAAGAGCCCTGGCAGCCTGGGCAAGGCCCCCTGACGAGCACATGGCTGTCTGCACAGTCCTGGGAGGCGGGGGCGCCGCGTGCCAGGGCCCGGGGTGCGGAAGCTGCAGTCCCGTTTCAGGAGCACCGGCTTGCTGAGTGGCAAAGGGCATCACTCCCAGTCCCGGGGCCCTGCCACACGCCAGGTGCTTCGCCACTCCTCTCAGGCTTGTGCTCAGAGAAGGCACGGTCAGGCCCACACTACACCGAGCTCAGGCTGCAGGGGTGACGTGGACGCCCACCTGTGCTCTTCACCTCCGGAGGGTCTCTGCGTCCCTGCGGCCAAGCTCAGTCACGCAGCCGCAGCCTCTGCCTTGTGCTGCTGCGCCTCGGCGCTCTGGCTTCCCTCCGCAGCACCCAGAGGAGAGCAGCTCGGCCCACA